ATTGTAATTGAGCCAGTTCAATTATGTATCACTTTACTGTCTTTTCCCCTGGACCCCTTCAAGCAGGATTCAGCTCCCTGCCATTCCCAGAAACCAACTTTAAACGAACAAGAATTGGGATCATGCCTGTGACATCCACACCTGCAGGAGAGTGTCAGAACTAATTCAGACTAGAGTGAAGACGTGGACAGACAAGTCACTGTGCCGTGTCAGTTTCTTTTGTTTTTTAAAAGATTTTTTTATTTATGCATACAAGAACTGGGGTACAGGCTAGATGTGGGGGTGGGTGGGTGAGAGGATTCACCAGAGAGAGAGTGGGGAGCAGAACAGGCAGACGGACCGAAGACACTGCTGAGGGGAGCAGCGGGCTAGGCAGGAGAGGTCTGCTGCGCCATGTGGGTTTCTCCCTGGAGGGCCGGGATCGAACCCATGCTGCGGAGGCTGCAGACAGCTTCACAGCACGGCGCTCAACCTGCTGCGCCACCGGGGAGGCCCGCCGTGTCAGTTTCTAATGGACACTACAGTGCTTGCAAGACGGACAGTTACAATAGATAAAAAATAGTTACATACAATAAAATTTAAATTACTTTTCCTGAAGTTTTCACACGTGGGGTTTTGCCCCAACAATACCATGCCAATTCCTAAGTAAATATAACGAAATAAAACCAAATATTTTTTCCCCTCAACGTGCAGCGTCATCAGTTTGCTGTTGAGATTTTTGTTACTACGTACGCTGTGTGGGCTTCTGGGCCTTTCTCCTTCTTCTCTTCCAGCCCTCCCTTCCCCCTCCCTCTGCCCCCAACCTCCCCTTCTCTCTCCCTCCTTCTGCTTCTCCTTTTCTTCCTTTCAATCAATACGTCATTTTCTTGGTTCATTTGAAATGAGGGAGTGTTGATAACTGTAAACATGAGAACTCAGGCACTCTTTGCAAAATGCTTCATGTAGCATTTTGTCTACATGAAGACACCTACTTCAGTCCTATTGTTGTAGAGCAGCCCCGATACAAAACGGGGTGCCTGGCTGTGGGTCCTCACCCGCGCGCTTAAAAGGACTTATCCATGCTCCACTGCAGGCACACGCGGAAGGTTCATAAAAGGTTTATTGACAAGGGAAGGGAAATGAGGAAATGTACAACTCAGGACATCATTTCCCCCTAACACTATTTTGCTGTTTCCAATGAGTTCTGGATTAAGACACCAGAAAATAGGCGTGATTGAGTTAGAGTGAAGACATGGGCTCTGAAGGTGCACCTAATGGGTTCCTCTTTGAGGAAGACACTCACACATTAAGAGGCAAACTTGTCTTTTTTTTTTTTTTTTTTTTTTTTTGGCTCTGGGAGCCCTTTTCACTCAGTTCTTGATTTAGAGCTTTGTTCTGCTCTGATTAGTGACTTCCAAATAGGTGAGCTGTTAGGTCACAGGTTACAGAACTCCAAGCTGAAGGAAGCAACCTAAACATCATCTGATCTAAGTCTTCATTCAAGGTGGTGCCCCACGAAGTGGAAAGACTCCCCAAGCTCACAGAACTGAGGTGTCACACAGGCATCTCCGGGAGGGTGTGACAAAGAGGCTCTCACCCCAGGATCCCCCACCCTTAGACTTACCTCCTACTGGTCCAGTGAGATTAGATTCAATCAAATATACAAGGAAAACCCAGATTTTAATAAGATGTTGGGGTGTAAAAATCCTGAGTTGTGATTTTATTCTAAATGTATTGAATAGTAAACTAATATGCCATAAGCACTTGACTCCAAGTTTTAAAGAAATTCTCATTTCACACTAATATGAGAGGACTAATGTTCTCCTCTGTCCACAGCAGCAACATTCACCATAGCCAAGTCATGGAACCAGCTAAGTGTCCAACAACAGGTGACTGGATAAAGAAATTATGGAATATATATATACTCAGCAGACGACTACTCAACTATTAAAAAAGATGAAATCATGCCTTTTATGACAAAATGGACTTATCTTGAGGTGACTTCCTCAGTGAAGAAATTGGGAAAGATAGCAACTGTATGGTTCTATTCACCTATAGAATATAAGTAAGCGAAGAAAACAAACTGGCAGAACACAACAAGAATAGTTCTTAGATTCTGTAAAAAATATATAGGAGGAGGGGAGAGAGAAGGGAAGTGGATAATGTCTAGGCACTGGCGCTTTGTTGGGTGGTAAGTGAGGTATGTGTGTGTAGAGGTATGATGTTGGATTTACCAGATTATTTAGCTGTATAAATGATTGGCAAATCAGTGAAAATTGAGTGGGAAAAACTCTTTGTGAAGAACAAAATTGCCTTTACAAAGGACAGTCATGACATTTCCAGGTTATAGTGCACAGTTATGGATCTTCACCATAAACAGTGTGTTATCAAAGTTATTGATGAAGTCTCGCATGGGATACCAGCACGAACCTATCAGAAACTCTAGCATCGAGTGAGTTTTTTTCCACTGTGCAGCAGGGGAGGAATCTTGTTTGGTTTATTTTTCGAACACTAGCTGATTCTGGATTGCAAAAATGGTCCTCAGAAAAAGTTTGTGGTATGTATGGAGGATGAAGGATGCAACCCAAGCATGAATGATGAGTGATGATGGATGATGGATGCATGGGTGGGTGGATGGATGATGGATGGATGGATGGATGAATGGATGGATGGGTGGAGAGGTCTTCTCAACCAAAGAAAACAAACTGGCAAAACATAACAAGAATCATTCTTAGATTCTGTAAAAAATATACAGGAGGAGGGGAGAGGGAAGGGAAGCAGATAATGTCTAGGTGCTGGCGTCACTCTCCAGGCTTGAGCAGGGATTTATATGCTCGCCCTAACATGATCTCATCTGCATAGTGAGAGATTTTTCGGTCTCTTCACACATGATCTGTGCTGTTCTCAAAACAAGCTGGATTTTGAACAAATGCTTCTTGGGATGATTGAAGGGATTTGAGGAAGAAGAGAAGCAGCAGGAGGAGAGAGGATGGAGCCAGGGAGGGGGTGGCTCCAATATTTTATTACAAGTCACTTGCCCAAAGCCCATTGGAAAGGCAACCACCAGGGAGGGAAAAGATTTCATTCATTTCTGTGAATGAAATGGAAATTTATTTTCCAGGTGACAATTTCTTGACCATATCAAATAGGGATACTCACTTATTTTTGAGGTATATTGCAGACTTTTTCAGGAACCTGCAGTAACAGGTAAGATGATAAAAGCAAAGGATTAAAAAGCCTCAAAATTCAGCTTGTGCTCCTCCTGGCCACTTTGAACTTACCTAGCTTCTGGCAGGTAGTTTTTTTTCCCAGAGTTTCCTGTAAGGAATGAAAGTTTAATCATCTGGGCCATGAAAGCTGACCTTTGGACAGGTGTCCAGGGGCTAATATTTGATATCAATTTTCTGTGCTAGGGAAGAGTGAAGTCAATTCCTGTATCTCAATAGTGGCAAAGAATAGGACCAATCATTACCTGAGGCAAACTAATAATGTTACTTGGCGATAGTGAACAAATATGGTTCCCCCCCTTACAAATTTTCTCTTTGAATGCTCAGAAGAAGCCCATGTAGTAGGTTTATCATCAACAGCCAGCAAGCAGCAGAACAGGATTTGACTTCTAGAGGCAAATCTCATCATCCCTTCATTATTCCAAAGAGCTTCTCCTCAGGACTCATCAGTAATCTGCAGGAGGTGTTTTAAGGGCACCCCCAAAACACCTTCCTTCATCCACTTTTCTGAGCTCCTGGGGAAATCAACTTGTTGTGTTAAGATATTTTCTAAAGAAGTCCCTGTACCCAGGGCCGGAGCGAGACTGGTCTTCCTCTTACCCGATGCTTTGACATTGGGAACTGGTTAATTCTTTGTCTGGGGTGCTGATGGCCTTGTAGGTTTAACAGCCTTCCTGTCCTCCACCCACTAGATGCCAGTGTCCACTCCATTCACAACTAAAATAGGGACCCAGACACGCCAAATGTCCCAGTTTGGCCCAGTTGAAACCGACTGCTTGAATACAAGACCGCAGACATCCTGGGTTCCAGCTTCTGGAGGGCTGGCGGGCGGAGACTGAAAACTTGTGACTTGAAAGAGTTCAATAAAACTCAACCTTCTAAAAAAGGGAGGGAGCAAATAGAGGAGCTGGGACAGCTTTGAAAAATAACCAGAAGCTAGGAAAAATCTTGATAGGTAAGAAATTAAATATATAAAATGCAACAACATATGGATGGAAAAGGTTTAAAATTGACTTTCTGTTCTAAGCTGAGTATTGTCTCCACCTCCAGCGGGATTGTTACTGCTGTTACTGGGGTCGGGAGTGAAGATAAAATGACCACGAGGCTTCCAGAAGTCCAGAAGCCAGCTGGGTCTGAGGGTCACATAGCTTTGCACCCCTGCACCGCCCTGGGGTTGACCATCTGAGCCCCACACACAGCTTCATCTTTTCCCTCCCTGGTGGCTGCCTTTCCAGAAGGCTTTTGGCAAGTGATTTATAATAAAATATTGGAGCCACCTCCTCCCTGGCTCCATCCTCTCTCCGCCTCCTGCTTCTCTTCTTCCTCAAATCCCTACAATCACCCCAAGAAGCATTTGTTCAAAATCCAGCTTGTTTTGAAAACAGCACAAGATCATGTGCGAAGAGACAGAAAAATCTCTCACTACGCAGATGAGATCGTGTTAGGGCGAGCATGTAAGTCCCCGTTCAAGCCTGGAGAGTGACCGCAGATGCCTTGTGGTCACTCTGCTGAGACAACAGCTATCATGTGGGCTGAGTGGGGCACAATGCTGCCCCGTTCTCTGCGCTTTTATACTCAGGCCGTCTAGATGGGGCAGCTCTGTTCTCTGGGGTGACGGAATAGTGAGGAGACTGTAATGTGGGTAACAAGTGCTGCCTGAGGGTGGTGCTTCACCCTCTGGCTTAGACTGGCAATGAGGATCGTCCTGTTACAATGCCCACTGCTCTAGGCGAGAAACGCACTCAAGGTCACACAGTTAATACCAGATGAAGTGGATTTAAATCAGGCGGTGTGGCCGGGGTTCCATCCACTTCCAGCAGCGCTGCTCCCGCTGCTCCCGCTGGCTTCCGGCGCGCTGGGAGCTGTGTCTGTGCCTCAGAATCCACCGGCCAGCGGCTGTGCAGTCCCTGCCTCCAGCTCTGGCAGGGGTGGAAAGCACCTCACAAGGGACAGAACAATACACATGATGAAGCGTCTTTGGGGCCATTCGAAGGTCAGGAGGAAGGCGTGCGTGAAAGAAATTGGTGCATAGAGGACACTTGTGAGCGCTGAGTGTTACAGACAAACCCAGGTTCCAGGACTTTTCTGAAATGAGCAAAGCCCTGCAGGAGAAAAGAGGATATCTTGATGAAAATGAGTCCATTTGTTCTGGAAACCAACCCAGCAAAAACAACAAATCTCCATGTTCTTTATTTATAAGCCCTGAGGTTTCTTTGTGACTCCTGCCTTGTGCGCCCCAGCGTAGGCAAGTGAGCCCTGTACTTTCTAAGGCTACTAGAGCCTCTTGCCTCCCATCCCAAAATTTGTCACCCCCACCCCCACCCTGTGCGACCCTCCTTGGAATTTAAATAGCTAATCAGGTGCCGGCTGAGCTAACAATGTGCAAATCTCCAAGTGCCTTCACGGTGACCTTCAGCACTGTATTTTGTTGGCATTTCCTTCTGTGTCCCTTTATATGAACTAGCTTGGCCTTTGGTAATCATTAAAAGTATTTGCTGAAGTATTCACCAAAGTCGGTAGATGAGAATTTCTGTGACCAGCGTGTCTTGTGACATTAGCTTGTCCCCTAAAGTAGAAAACCAACTGAGAAAAGTACTTTGGCAAACCGGCGCAGGTTGATACACGTGAGAAGACACAGGCTTTCACTCTATGCGTAATTATTGAGCCTATACTATGTTCTAGGCCGGGACCAACATCCTCCCATCCCCTCCCCCCCATTTTAGGGAACCACCATCCTAGTGGGGTGTGGGGGGTAACAGTAAGTCAACCATGTTGTATAGTTCATAATACAAAAATAAAACAAAAAGTGAAATCAAATAAGATGCAGAGAGAGACAAGAAGGCACTGGGAAGTCTCCTTCCCTGAGTAGCTCAGCAGACCAGTGATGGCAAAGAAGGGTCACTTGGCAGTGGGGTGGGGACTAGACTGTAGGGCAAAGGAATAACGGGGGACCAATTTAGGAGGTGATGTTGCTAGAACCGGGCTAGAGGGATGAGGTTAGAGTCTGGATATATTTTCAAAGTGGGGTTGTGAGGATTTGCTGGCACAGTGGCGGTGGGGCGTGAGAGACAGGAGCTAAGGCTTCTGTATATGTGCATGTGAGCATGGTGTGAGCATGTCTAGAGAAAGGCTGATATATCTGGTTTATCGCTTGCTTTCTTATTTTTGCTCCACCCTAAAGCTCTGTGAGGAAGGGGACTTCTTGGTCTTAGCTCCTGCTGTGTTACCCAGGGTCTAGCGTGGTCTCTCTGAACAGTGGAAAAGTGTTTATTGTGAGTAATTGGGCTACAGAAAAAATTGTAAAGAGCTCTGCTATGTTCTTGTTCCCATATTTTCAGCATTGAGCTGAAATATTGTTTATTGTTAAATGATGTTTGTAATCAAAAAATCAAAGAGGTAGATGACATAAATCAAAGAACTATATGACATAAAAATTTAAAAAATTGCTTATTACGATTATCACTAAAAAGTGAAGGAGTTTACATGTCCAGGTGGAGGGTGTTACTTTGAGAGCCAACACCAGTATGAGTAAATGAGTCCAAACAGTGTAAAGTAACGAATCCAACTCCAGTGGAATTAAATGGCCTGAGTGATACAGGACCAGTGGCCAGGACTGACTAGATCTTATTCCTGGTGTTTTTCTTTAAGGACACACCAAAGGCTACTTCTCAGCCAGTCACCAACTGTACCAAGTCGAAGTCATTAGTTGATCATCCCTTGGTTCAAGTCAAAAGATTTTTCTAGCGTTCCTAGAACCAGGACAGTTCTCTTAAAACTTGTCAAAGTTAAGGTTTGTGGAATATTATTACCCATGTAAGTATGAACTTTTAATTTCGTATGTGTGTGTGAGCAGCACATTGGAGACATGTTTTTAACAATAAACGTACAGATGGCATGCATCTTGGGGGTCTCTGGTGCAGTAAATAAATCTAGAGTTCTTTGTTCACTCATAGGAACACCATCCCTTCCATACACTCTGAAATCCAAAAAATTATGTAAACTAGCTGAGCAAAGCCAGATGGACCTGAACACATCTGGTGGTGACTTGAAAGGGGAACGTGGTTCTGCAGAAATATTCATGCCCTTGATCACGTGGGCAGCATTAGGTAACAGGCACAGTAGCCTCTCAGTCATCTTTCTAAGAATTCTGTTTTCTGAAACACATCTGGCTTCAAGGGGTGGGAATCCTGCACGTGCTTGCTGTTTGGGACTGGATTGCTGGTTTCATCCTTTACTAAGGACCATGCTGCTTGCAGAACTGTTGACAAGAGCCTGGACATGGCAGCAAGCTAAGTGTCCGCTGATGGAGGACTGGATCAGTCTACGGATGCCGCTGAGCCATCAGGAAAGGTGAAATGTTGCCATTTACAAGGCCATGGAAGGAACTAGAGGGGATTATCCCAAATGAAGCGAGCTGGAAAAGTGAACATTGGAGGATTCTATACAAGTGGATGGATTGATAAAGCAAAATAATTCTAAACTAGTGTGGACACTGATAACCAAACTGAGGTTTCTGAGGTTAAGAGGGAGGGGGTGGGGGGCATAAGGGATAGCAGTGGGAAAAAATAGGAAAGACCATAGAGAGCTAACAGATAGAGACAGAAGAATACACAGGACAAAGAAGAGACGGGTTTAACAGTGTTGGAACCTAGGAAATCACTCAGGGGGAAAAGAAAGTATGCAGACCATGGGAGGAGAGAAAGTCAAGAGACTGCTCCAGATCAGAGATGCACCTGTGATTCTAAACTGGGTCCTTTGGTTTAAAGGATGCTAAGAGAAAAAGGTGAATGAGAGAGAGAGAGAGAGAGAGAGAGAGAGAGAGAGAGAGAGATGGGGGGGGTTGCTTGCCTTGTGGTTATAGCTGGAGGCTTTGCCGGGGTGCATCTGCGGGTCTAGCTCAGGTGTGTGAGCGCCGTGCTCTGAACACTCTGCTCTGTGGTGATGAAGCTTCTGGACTGTTCCTTCCAGAACAGGGCAATACCCTGAAGAGAGGTGGCATGGGACTGGGTGATGCTGGGCTCCTTCAGCGGGCACGGTGGGACACAGGGGACACCCTGGTGACTGGAGGCCCCTTCAGAAGTGAAAACGTGGCCTGCGGTTCCCCTTCTTGGAGGATGGCCGGCCTGGCTCCTGCACACTGAGGCAGGACACGGCATCTTCAGCTGTGCTGGCTGAGCTCAGTGCTTGACTCCTGGCATGAAATGGGAAATTGGTGTTTGGGTGCGTGTTTGGGGTGATTTAAATGGCTCAGGATCTTGAACTTGTTCCAGAAAATACCCAAGTGGCCAGTAGAACTAGGATTTTTTCTCTAAAATCCACAGGCCATGGGAAGGGCTGTCATTGGCCAGGCTACCAAGCCACCCAAACATGAGTGGGGAGAGCTGGGGGTGCAAACCCCGCCCAAGTCCCAGGAGGGAGTCGCACCAAGGACGTCTGGTCCGTGCCAGGAGGCCCAGCAGGCACTCCAAGGAGCGCAGGAGCTAAGTGGCCTCCCCAGCTTTGTACCGCCCTTCTGCACCTTCCCTGCAGCCCACCCAGGTCGGAATTAGGGTCCCGGTGGAAAGCAGAGGCAGAATTCGGGAGAAAGAGAACTCGGGAGAAGAAGGAGCAGCGAAAAGAAGAATCCAGAGACCTTAAACCCGGCAGAGAAGGGGCGCAGCGGATCTCGCCTCCACGGACCCGCGCACCGCCGGGGCGCGCGGCTAAACCTTCCCGCCAGGGCGCAGCCGGGTCCTCTCGCAAGGGCGCAGAGCCCCTCCTGGCGCGCGCCCCTCGCCGGCCCCCCCTGCGCCCCAGGCAGCGCCGAGGAAGGGTCTCCGGTGCAAGACAGGGGTCTGCGGCGATGGCCGAGGCCGCGGGGCGGGAGGGGGACACCCCGGGGCCTCCCGAGGTCCCGGAGCTCGCGGCGGCGGAGAGACCCGACCTGGCGGGCGGGGAGGCGGCGCGCGCGGGGGCCGGCGAGGGCGCCGCGGAGGCGCCAGGGGCCGAGGGGGCGGGCGCAGCCGCGGCCGTGGCGGGGAGCGAGGGGGGGCGCGCGGGGCCCGACGGCGAGCAGGCGCCCGACGCCCGCGGGGACCCCGGGGCTGGGACTCCCGGCGCGAGCGCAGCGCAGGGCAAGGGGGAGGCCGAGGCGGGCGCCCCCCAGGACACCGAGGCCCCCCAGGACGCCGAGGCCCCCCGGGACGCTGAGGGCCCCCGAGACGCCGAGGCCCCCCAGAACGCCGAGGCCCCCAGAACGCCGAGCTCCCCCAGGACGCCGAGGGCCCCCAGGTTGGGGAGAGGGGGGAAGGCACAGAGCAGGGGGAGGAGGCGGGCCCCGCGGGCGAGACGCCCGGGGAAGCTCAGGGGGAACCCGGAGACTCCGCGGCCCCCGAGGCAGAGCGGGAGGCCGAGCGCGGGCCGGAGGAGGGCGGAGGGGGTGCGCCTGGGGTTCCGGGGGGCAGCATGGACGCCGAGGGGCCGGCGGGGGGCGGCCTGGACGCCGAGGGGCGGGCGGGAGAGGCGCCCGGGGCCGAAGGCGCGCCCGGGGACCGAGAGGACCGCAGCTCTGCGCCCCAGACCGAGGCGGCGGAGAACGAGGGGCGCAGCCCCGGGGAGCTTTCCGGGGGGCCTCGGGGCGCGGCAGCGGGAGCCGCGGAGGAGCCGCAGGCGAGGCCGGCGGAGGGGCCGGGGGACGCGGCGCCCGGGGACCCGCGGGCGGGCGCAGGTGCCGACGCCGGCCAGGGCGAGCGGCGGGAGGAGGCGCGGGAGGCCGAGGACAGCGGGCAAGAGGGGGGCCCGAGGGGGCCGGGCGCGGAGGAGGCCACGGCCGGGGGCGAGGAGGAGCCCCGCAACGGCAGCCCCGAGGGGGAGACCGCTGCGCCGAGCGGGGGTGCCGAGCCCGAGGCCGCGCTCAGCAACCACCTGGTGGAGCAGGGCCGCGCCCCGGCCGAGCGCGCCGAGGAGGCCGCGCGGGTCAACGGCGGCCGCGAGGACCCAGAGGCGTCGGAGGAGCGGGTGCCCGGGCAGGAGCACGACATCACCCTCTTCGTGAAGGTAAATCTCCGTCCTCCAGCTCCTGGAGCAGCTGCTCCCATCCGGTGTCCTCGGGGCCCAGAGGGACACTCGGGGACAGAGCTCCTCGCGCCCCTGGCACGGGCACTGCCGTCGGGGAGGGAGCCCGGCAGCCAGGGTGTCTGGGAGAAGAGCAAAGACGCATTGGGGGGAGGACTTGCGGGTCTGGAAGCAAAAAGGCTGGGGGGCGGTAGTAGTGGGGCGCCCTGGGAAGCTGCTGCAGGAACTGGGTGACTGGCAGATCCCCACCAGCAGTCCACTGTCCTTTGTCCTGAAAATCCTAACTGGCCTTTCTAGCCAGGAATGTATTAAAGAATTAAGCTTTTAACTTAAAAAAACAAAAAGGCCACAGGCCTATTGATTGCAAAGCAATTTCTGCCCAAGGAAGGTCTGAGGACAAGGAGGCTGGTGGTAACATGAGCTGAGCGGGGCTCCTGACCTCACAGGCTCAGCCTGGCCCAAAGTTTCCAGCTCCCAAATGGTTTTCCACTTGGGCAGACTCCGTAAGGTGTGTTTGGGAGGAAAGTGGAAGTTTAGTTAAATGCAATAGTATTTATTGAACATTTCCACACTTCTCGTGGAAGAATACAAGCTGCTCCGACTTGGGCATTGTCGGCCTTTATGTCGCCTTTTTAACCTTATTCCACTTTGGAAGACAGCAGTGATTTTTGTTAAAGATTCTGTAGAGTCATGATTGAGGAAGCGTTGACATTTCTACAAGTTATCAAAAATAAGGGACAAAGTTCAGGGGGTAGCTCGCTGGAGGAGTTTTCCTTTACAAAAAAAAAAAAAAAGTGAACAATAATCAGGTTAAGAATGTGCATCGCGTGTTCAGCCATAATCCTTCTAGAACACTTTCAGGCTTAGAGAAGCCAGCTATGACTTACACCTCCTTAACTGAATGAAATGTAAGCAAATTCTGATTAGCAAAATTAGAAATGCCCCCAAAGTGATTAGCATCAGAATTTCAAGAGTTGTTTGGAGGACACAGGGGTAAGGGAGGAAGGGCCCGGGTGTTTTCCTTAGTGAAAAGGTGCTGTTGGAGCAATTTGTAAGACCCTGGGACATTTTAAGATTATGCTTTGGGACCCTGAGTGAGGGCATGACTCCTGGGAAGGTCACTGGGAGCAGGGAGTTTGCAGGGAAATTAGGAGATGGGGAAGCTGCACCTAATGTGTGTGTGTGTGTGTGTGTGTGTGTGTGTGTGTATGTCCCAGATCTCCTTAGTTTAAGAAATTTCCTCTGGTCACAGGGTTACATGATTCCAGCCCATTCCAGCTGCTGTCAGTTTGGAAATTCAGTGACAGCTTCCCAAAGTCGTCCTGCTTCTAGTTCACCTCTCTCCAATCCAGCCCCTTAGTAGCAGCGAGTAAGCTAGGAAAAAGGATCTGATCATTTTGTTTCTTAGTGTAAATTTCTTCTGTTGTTTATTGCAGAATTTTTGATATGTCTACACCATGCTCCTTGCCAGTCTATAAGGCCCTTTGTGATGTTATTCCTTTTTCCTTGACTTTGCCTTTTGTCCCCACGCTTTATTACCCAGGGTTCTGCCAGGCAGGCTGTATCGAGCACTTATTTTTCCTTGTGCAACCTCATTCTTTCCTGCCTTGAAATTTTGTGTGAACGGTACCCTCTGCCTCAAGTGAGTTTCTCCCCTCTTGCCCCTCTCGCTGATCCCTGCCTGGGTATCTGCTGTGTGTCCAAGGTTCAGCGTGACGATCATCACCTCTGGGGAGCCTCTTCCAGCCAGTCTGGACTGGTGTCTCTCTGTTGAATCTCCATTTACACACTACTCTGTGTGTCCTTCCCCTCCCTTGATGATGAGGCTCATCATTGTATCCCTGATGTGGCGCACAGGACTGGAATGTGCTGAGGACCTGGATGCATGCCTGTTTGCATGAGGCAGTAGAGACTGGTGAGCAAGAGCATCAGTGGGTCCGGAATCACATCCTGGCTCTGCTGTTTTCTTGCTGTGTGACCTTGGGCAAGTCACTTAACCTTTCTGTGCCTGTATTGCTTATGCATAAATGGAAATAATAATAGTATCCACTGAGGTGGTTGTGGGGATTCAATAGTGAAATTCTATAATGCACTTAATACCTGATTTGGAATAAACATAAGATAAATGTGATCTCTTATTGTTCTCTCTGCTCAGCTCCCATATGTTTTCATTGTTTTGAATAGAAATAATCCCCCTTCCCATTCCATCTCTGCCTTTTTTTTTTTCTTAAGAGCACATCCCTCTAGGTATCTAATTACCTCCATTCTCTGGGGATAAGAATGTTATGAAAAGCAAAAATAAGTTGTTTTCTCAGATTCTGCTTGGGAGTAGTCTGTGTAGCTAGAGAAGGGGACAACTTTTCCAGAATGTTCTACTCTGATAATTAGCTGAGTGCTCATTTGGTTACCCTTTTTGTTCTTTAAGGAGACAAACCTCTCCAAACAGATTGGTTACAAATACCAGAAAGTAATGACTTGCAACCCAGGAACATGTAGTAATAAAATCTGCTTCTAATCTTAGCCATTTGAGGGTTTATAGTCTTCCTCTTTGCAAGAATTGCTATTTTATTAAGTTGTCATTTTGCTTTACTCTGTAAGAATGGATTTTTATATATTAAAGAGTCAGGGACATAGGAAAAGTACCCTTGAATTATTGTATGGTCAGTTAATTGTGGATCATGCTAATCTTTACATTCATTTTCTCAAAAAAGTGCTAATTGTTTGTCATCAAATTATAGGGTAACCTTATAATATATTTAGAAAGAATGTTCTTTTCTTTACTCATAACCAAAAGGGTAACAACCTAACAATAGAACAAAAAAATAACAACAAATAGCAAACAAAATACTATCAACCAAGGGCAAAGTCAAGGGCTTGAGCCCTTGGGTTTAGGCACCAAAGAAGCTATTCTTCCAAGTTCTAAGGAACAGGTGTACTTTGAGGTTTGGTTAAGGGGGCTATCACAGCTGAGATACAATTTTCTTGGCAAATTTTTCATGGCATTAAAAAAAAACCCACCTCAATGGGGGGCTACTCCTGGGTCAGAATCTAAGAAATTCTTGAATTATGTTTAGGACACCGGGCAATGACTATTTACACACAGCTGCTGCGAGCTGGAAAACTTGATTTGCCACATTTGGATTCTCCAAAAAAAGTGAAACTGATGATAGAACAAAGTCACATCTCAAGATACCTTTGAATAAGCTTTGTCACCTGGAAATGTTGCCCAAAACTAAGGAGTGGATGAACGGTGCTTGGGTGCATTGTTCACAGGCTTGGCGGACTGGGGGCGCTGGGCGGGTCCAGGGCTGCAGCTGATCGCTCCTGGTCGTAGGCTGTGGCTCTCCGCGTTTCCCGGGAGAGAGCATGCCGAGACCTGCTCCGTGGGGCCTGTCTCAGAGGACCAGAGAGGGGGATGTTATTGTCATAACTTTGGGAAGGCTGCATGTTCCGAAGAGAAATGAGCAAAAATGCACCGTGACTTGAATTCTCCCACCCAAAATGACATTTTTGCTCATTTGTTCTCTGAGTGTCTTATACAACTTGATTATAAAAGACCTGAATGAACATCAGCACAGGGGAGTCGGGGAAGAAGCTGAGGTAGAACCCACTGTTTGCTCATCTCTTACTCGCATGTGCACGCACGCTCTGGGGAGAGCCACAGTACGGTGGCCTCTGTGTCCTCGCGTGGCCAGGCAGTGGGCGGTGAGCAGTGGGCAGTGAGCCCCGGGGTGAATTTGGTGATGAGAGGGAGGCGGCCACGAGGATGGCTGGTTGATTCAAGGAGGCTCAGCTAATGGGAAGTGGGCACAAGCCACCCACAGTCCCAGTTCAGTGTCCCCCGCCAAAGGACCAGAGTCAGCCCCCATCCCTTTATGGCGATATGGTGGCAGCAGTTCCTGCCCGGTGCTGATGGGCAGGGCTCTCTGGGACAGTGAGCACGTGGCTGCACCTGCCGCGGCGTCTCCCTCACATTCGGTCCTTCAGCTTCGTGGGCTTCCCAAAGCCTGCTCTCCTCCAGGAGCTGACCATCTGCAACACACATTCAGAAACACTGCTCTGGGGGCCGAAGCAGGAGAGTCACCCTTTTGTTTTTCACACACAGAAAAATAAAGCCTAGAATTCGAAGGGATGGGAGCTGAGCCTTACTTTAGGTCCAGATGGTTCGTGCTGCTTCAAGGTTAATGCATGAACTCAGCACACGTGGGTTTATCACCTGCTGTGTGTCCGTGCTGGGTGGGAGTGTGTGGGCCCAGCCTCAAGCAAGACCACTGTCCTCGCAGAGCTGACTGTCTAGCCGAGGGTGGAGACCAGTGGGGATTAGATCCAAAAGCAGGGGCCAAGAGCTTTTCTCTCCATGTTCTCTCAGCCCCCAGCACAGGGCCTGGCACACAATTAGCACTGCCCTCCCCAATTAAAGCTAGCAGGTGACAGGAGAGAGGGAGGCTGGCAGACCATAGGAGTATCCCCCAGGAGGACCTCCAGACAAGCAGCAGTGATGACATTATTACTGATTTCTCTGTATTTTGGGAAATTAGAAAGTGGCATCCTCTGAAAATTCCTACACTAATTCTTTAAGATTTTCAAATAAAGGCTGGCTTTGCTCTAGCCATTCTCTGAGCTCCTGAGACACTGGGCAAAGAACAGTTTCCTCGAGCAGTTGGGGAGGTATTTACATCTCCTGAACTCCGCTTTCTCTGTCATTGATCATCTCTGATCTTTTCCCCCCAGAGTGTTGGTTCATAAATGGACTTTGTATTAGGGCAGAGTTGGGGGAGATATTGTTTCCACATGGTAGACAGTGTGTAAAAGACCTCAGCATGTATTCTGCTAACCCATTCTCCTTCCAATAGGGAAGAGTCACCAAGTCCATCACTAACTGGAGGCCACCAAGCCAAAAAATGTTTTCTGCTGAGTTCTTTAGGGGAAGGGTGCTGACCCCTAGCTCAAACCCACTTTATATTTCATCTTCTTAGGCTACATATGTTGCAGCTGGCACCAAATTTGGAGTTTTATTTATCAAGAAAGAAAGGAATTACTATAGGATGAACACTCAGCATTGTCTGTCGTAGTCAGAAATATGTAAGGCTCGGAACATCTTATGTTTATTGTTAGATATTTTCTTCCTTTTCTTTTCTTTTTTGTTTTGCTGGTGAAGCCCACAATCTTGATACAGGTAAAGTTGAAATAAAACAGAGATTAAGCATTTTTTATACAGTTTGATATTCATGTGGCCCATGGGATTTTGATTTTTTTTTAAAGATAATGTACTAGGGTAATAAAAATTATAACTATAGAAAGATAAAGTACAATGAAAAGTATTTTTCCATTTCGGAGGCCCAGTCTCTCAGTTCTTTTCCCTGAAAACTGCCTCTTAATATCTTTGCCAGAAGCATTTGGTGCATATTCAAGCAATATATAAATATCTTCACTGTATTGGTCATCTTATTCTGTGTAACTAATTACCCTAAAACTTAGAATCTTAAAACAATAAATGTTTGTTTTAGTTTCTCTGTGTGGGGGTTTGGAAGGAGCTTGGTTAGTAGTTGTGGCTCATGAGGCTGCAGTGAGGACATTGGTCAGGGTTGTGGTGTCATCTGAAGGATTAATAGGGACTGGAGGATCCACTTTCAAGATGGCTGACGCATGTCTATTGGCAAGAGGTTCCAATTCTCACTGCTTTGGGCTCTTCCCATAGCATTGCTTTAGTATCTCACAACATGGCATCTGGCCCTCCCCAAAGCAGGGGTCCAAAAGAGAGGAAGCCAGAATGCCTTTTATGACCTAATCTCAGAAGTCATGTATTGTCATTTCTGTCTTAATTCACTAAAGCCAGCTCTGAAGGAGAACAGAACTAAACTCCACTTTTTAAAAGATGGAACTTGAGTTGATTATGTTGAATGAAATCAGCCCCAATGTGAAAGATATCAGATGGTTTTATTCATCTGTGCCATATAAATATAAAAAAAGTCCAATTTCATGCAAACAATTGAAGAAATAAAAATTTGAACTCAGCCAAAATAAAAAAAAAAATCCATGCATGGGTAGGATTTTGATAACCTTTATCAAATTTCCTCTTTAAGGAGATTCTACTAAATCATATTCCCTGACACTAGATGATCCCACATTTGTTTTCCCAGCTTTTCCCATGCAGTATATTATCAAATTTTTGAATCTTAGAGGTGAAAATGCAGTCCATGTAAATCCATTCACATCTCTTCTAGCATGGGTGAGACTGAGTATAAGTTTACATATTTAAAGACTGATAGTATCTGTTTTTCCGTGAACTGGCTACTTAAACTCTTTGTACATTTTTCGAATAACCTTTTGGCTTTATTCTTCCTGATTTTTATATTAAGGAAATGAGACAATTGTCTGTCATAGGGGCTGCATGTATTTTATGGGGCTCCTTTGACTACTTGCACTGGAGTAATTGTTCTTTTACTTTCAGCAATTTCTTGTAATTGATGGAGAGATACCAAAGAGGCTACTGGCACACTTAGAATCTCAACCTCTCTTACTGCAACCTTTAAACGCTCTGTTTCACTTTATATCTTAAAACTTCTTAGGTGTTTCAAATCTTGCCTTTCTCCCTCTCTTTTTAACGAGATTACATTTTATCAGGCACATGCCCTTTCAGAATTAAACTCTTCCATTGTAAGAATTCCTTTTCAAGACAAAATATGTAGAGAGCAGGATCATTTCCCATCCACACTGCTCCGCCTGAAAATGTGAGATATATCCCTTTGATCTTCACATGCCACCTCTGAAATGCATTCAGTTCCCACAAACGATTATGAAAAAAATCATCTGTGATATCAAATGTTGTTTCTGGGCTTGTCTCCTGACCAGTTGTTCTATTTATGCTCCTTTCTGAAACTGACCAAAATTGGCTGAAATTTCTAGAGAATGATGACAAATCCTATCTGCCGAGATCCAGTGAACTGTGGAAACCTTCACTTACTGCTTTATATTTAATTAGTGAGAAGATGAACTGAAATACTCCCACGTCAAAGATTATGTAGAGAGATGGTTTTGAGGCTTCTGAGGGGGCAGTTCTGTGGAGGACAGACATGCTGATATACATCACTTCAGTCTGATCTTATTTGTGTATGTATGAAACCACCAGATTAAAAATAGTCTCTAATTCTAGAACGTCACTAGGTTTCTGAATTCTACCCCCAACTCAGAGTTCTCTTTCCTTCTTTGTTGTCCACATGAAAGTGGAATCTTTTGATGTGAAGCAAAAGCTGCTTTTTCATCTTCCAAATGACCAAGTGGTGTTTGGGCTCAAGTGGTGATTCAAAGCAAATATTCACGGAGGACCTGCCAGATATCAGCCTTCTAACTTGGAGCTGGGGGTGCAACAGTGACAAAAAGTGACAAGCACTGCCCTGATTTACTGGAGCCTCCAGTCTAGAGAATGATCTAGGAGTTGAAGGGACAGGAGGGATAAACAAGATGGCGGGCTGGGCAGCTGCAGCCTCAGGGGAGATGTGGCTCCTAGATCTCGACTGCCGTCTGAAAGGAGCAGTCTGCTCGGCAGTCCTCTCTCCTGGAACTGTGTTGAATGACATACATTTATAATCCTATACAATCTTGCCATCGAAGCCAGCAATGCCCCACGAGTCACACCGTATTTATAGAGTCTGGCTTTTGTCTGGGTTCAGTAATTAAACAATGATTGAAGTCCTGTGCATGTTATAAATCAGATTTCCCTTTCTGTTCTCTGATAGGGTTGATAGTGTGAAATAGAGTTGGAGATCAAAAGGGGGGTAACAAAGCTCACTCAGTGGTGTCAGCTGGTGGTGGTCTGGTCTGGGGAGTCCAAGGTTATTTCACACTCTTGGCTCGTGTCTTGGCACAGTGGCTGGTTGATGGGGCTCAGGTGAGTTGTCAGAGGGGGTACCTATGGGGAGTCCCCCCGGCATGGCAGCCTCAGGATGGTCAGTGAATTGGCCAGATGCTGCACAGCAGTGTCTCCTGTGTCCTGCTGGTCACCAAGTAGTCAGGAAGGTCAGGCTGGAGTCAAGGGAGGAGGATCAGACCCACACCCCATGGGAGGCAGGTGGAAGAAACCTGTGGCCATCTCTGACCCATCACACCGTGGTACTGCAGGTGGTGCTCAGGTGCGCCAACCACCTATTTACAGACCTGGTTCTTTACCAGCCTGAGCTTACTCAGCAGTGCCTGAAAGCAGGGGTGGTCATTTTTCCTTATACTCACTGATGGGTGAAGCAACAGCTCTGCTGAACTTACTGTAGCCAATAAGGTAAGGGCCTGAGAGGAACAGAGCAAGGCCATTCTGAGCTGCTGTTTATGATGCAAAGAGCCATAACTGACTGTTTCAAATGGCAGTTAACAAAAAGGCCCCCTCCATGGCAGACGCATTAATACCTCTAAGTTTTCTTAAGCCCTGAATTCTCTGTTTGGAGAGCCAAATGACACAAAGAAACCACTGAGAGTGACCCAAACTTCATCCCATCTGACCAGGTATGGGGACAGACTCCAAGGCGTCCAGCCTGGAGTTAAACAAGGGGACCCACGCTGGGGAGAGAGGAATCTTTCCAGGCATCTTTGAACTCATCGCCTTCATAGCCTTGACACTGATGGCATCAAAAGTATTCATTCTCCTCATTTATGAAGAAGCCTTGGGTGCCTGGATCTCCAGACCAATAGCACCTCTATTCTATGTGGCCTTCAAAGCACATGGCAGCGGTGATACACTGAATGACTGAGACCTCGGTGTCTGCAGTGGCCTCGGTCCTAAAGTCCTACCTACCATTAGGGAACAGTGACCTCTTGTCCCCAAGGCTAGAAATATCCAGACATAAAGCCCAGGCTGTCTCCTCTGCCTGCAGCTCGCCACCCTCTCCCACGAGGGACCCTGGGCTGGGCCTACCAGCCATTGTGCCAAGACAATACACGAAAGTGTGACATGGTCTTGGACCCTCCCCCCCCAACAGCCCACCACCAGCTGAACACACGGGATGACCTTTGACAAGGTCACATGGTACAGAAGGATGCCCTAGTCAGGCCTTGTCCAAATTCCTGACCCACAAAATCATGTGATATCGTCAAAGGCCTGTTTGGCTGCTGAATATGGGGTGATTTGTTCCCTGTCCATAGGCAACTGAAACACGGAGCTCCCGGTGAGATCCCGGTGGGTGGAAAGCCAGGGCGGAGGGGAAAGTTGGGAGTGGCCCAGGGTAGTTCCAGGCTGGGTGCAGGCGGAAGGGGGCTGCGGTGACTTTGCCCCTTGGGTGGGTGCACTTCGCCCTCCCAGGGCCTGGAGAGGTCGCCTTACCTGCCGTCACCCGGTGATTCACAACCACCAGCCACCGGGCACAGCAAATCAGGCTTCCAGAACAAGATGTTCCTTTATTGCAATAATTCCTTTCGAAAATTTTACAAGCAAATAAGCTTTTCATCTCCATGTAAAAGCTTCGGTTGGTGTCAGGCCATATTATTAAAAAAGGATTAGAAATAGCCGCCGAGCCTTTGAGGCACACTGCACATGTGCCGGTACACAGCGAGTTCCCTCTGGGCCTCCGTGCGCGTCTCGGCCCTCTGTTCCTCCCTGGGACGAAGCGCGCTCACAGCTCGGCCTCTGGCCAGAGTTTCCAGCTGGGGCGGCTGGCTCAGTGATTACGCTCCGTGGGTCAAGGGTGGCCACCAGAGCCACCTCATAATGTGCCGATTGTTAGCATGTTGGAGAGGCAACACCCTATATCCTTGGGAACATAGTTAGGATTCGTGGCCTTTTTAAAAGGTTCAGATCTAAGTATCAGAGTTTGAGGGTCTGGAATCTAGTTCTTCGGCTCTGAGTGTGGCCACAGCTGCCATTGCGCTTCCGTCCTGAGGACGTGGAGGAGCAGGTGTGGCAGGCCAGGGCCCTGTGGCCTGGGGCCAGGAGCCCAAAGCCACTTAGCCGCCCAGCTCTCCCCCACTGAGGACAGGTGGCCGCCCCTTGAGCCGGGGAGGCCAGCAAGTCCATCTAGAAAGACTAATTTTAAAGACTTTATTTATTTATTTATGCACACAAGAGCTGGGGTACAGGTCAGAGATGCGGGGGGTGAGAGGATCCACCAGAGACAGAGCGGGGAACAGAACAGGTGGACTAACCAAAATACACTGCTGAGGGGAGCAGTGGGCGACACAGGAGAGGTCTGCTGCGCCATGGGGGTTTCTCCCTGGCCAGGCGGGGATCAAACTCGTGCTGCAGAGGCTGTGGATTGCTTCATAGTGCGGTGCTTAACCCCTTGTGCCACCAGGGAGGCCCAACACTTATTTTAAAAAACACACACTGTTTTCTAAAGTAGGCGTCGCTATACTTCGGGTGTATTTCCCCTTCATGGGCTTACGAGAAGGGCGAGGTGTAGAGTTTGCGGCACAGGGTACGCCAGCCAGCGAGCACCAGGGGCCAAGATGTGCCAGTGAGGCCAGGCAGGTAAAGGAACAATGTCTGCAGAAACGCCCCATGGGCTGCAAACTGGAGGAGGCGCTTCTGACTCAGCCTGCAGGGCCAGCTTCAGGCTCCGGGCTTTGTTGGTTGCTGGCTGTTTGGCTGCTCCACTGGAGGGCGGAAGAGAGGAGGTGAGGAGGACAGGGCCACGTGGCGCTGCCCGGCCTGGTCGCCTTCCCTGCAGAAAAGTCAAGAGCAGAGAGGCCTTCCAGATGTCTGCACCGGGCGGGAGCAGTGCTGGAATCCAGCGGTGCTGCAATCACTGGCCTCACGCCCGCTGCGGCCTGCACAGCCCCTCCTGTGGACGCTGGCCGGCTATCAGTGGTCACAACAGTCCAGCAGCGTGTCTGCTTCTTGCTCGCCTCCCAAGCACAGCAGGATCTGCCCTCCAGCCTCATGTCTCATGTCTGCTTCCTGCACCGAACCCAGAGGTGGGGGCAGACCAGCCAAGGTGCCTATTTTGTTGGGAGAAACTGCAGCGCAATAAGACGTGGCCAGGGCACTGGAAAGGCCTGGGTGGAGGGAGAAAGACCCTGGGGCCTGAGTGCGCAGCCTGTCTCAGGCTGGGGAGGTCATGTGGTTACTTACCCCGGTCTCCCAGGGAGACTCACAAAGAGGAATTCCAGAATTTGAGCAGGGGTATCAAATTCCCGTGGCTGCAATGTCAGAATCTCCCCAAAGCAAGCAGCTTTTCTGCATTCCTCACCCCTTGCAGAAGCTGTAAAATCGGCTAAGCACTCAGTCCACGCGGGCCTGGAGCTCCCTGTCACGTTGCTGTTGGTTCCCCCCGTCGTCTCCGTCACCATCTCTGAGGTTAGAGTCCTCTCGGGCTGCCTTCCATTTCATGGCAGCCGCCTCCTCCAATGTTGCGGTTCGTGGGGCGTTTCTATAGAGTTTGTTCCTTGAGCTCTTGGCAAAGAAAATAATCTCTTGTATCATTGTTTCCCTGGGAAAACCGGTCAATACGTCAGTTCAACTCACATCATCTTTCCCAGAGATGGAGGCCGTTTGGTAAGAACGTCCTTCCCTAAAAGGTATCCGTCAGCGATATTTTTTCTCCCCCCTACGTAGGGGTCTTCTACTTTTTATGGCGCTGGCGATTTTTCCTGGCCCACCAGATGTTGTGCATTTTACTTTGTTGGTTTGCTGGAATTTTTGCAAACTTTCTACATTTGAGTGCTTTTCTGGAACACAGTTACTTAGAAACAGTATTAGAATCCTCTTCCCACTATCTCATACACCTGCGAGCCTCCTGCCCGCCTCCCAGCCTCCCTTGGTTTGTGGATGATCTTATTAATGATCGCTAGTTTTAATAAGTATTTTGCTTTGTCAGCTCGCCTGCTGGGTCCCGTGTCTTTGTCCTTCTGACTTGCTTCGCGGCACATCACCGCCTCCAACTCCCTCCATTTTGCTGCAAATGACAACATTTCATCTTTCTTTATGGCTGAGTGTGTATGTCTACTTTAGAAAACAGTGTGTGTTTTTTAAAATAAGTCTTGGGCCTCCCTGGTAGCACAAGGGGTTAGGCACCGCACTATGAAGCAATCCACAGCTTCTGCAGCATGAGTTCGATCCCCAGCTGGCCAGGGAGCAACCCCCATGGCGCAGCAGACTCTCCTGTGTCGCCCGTGGCTCCCCTCAGCAGTTTAAGTAACAAACTTAACAATGTGTAGTCGAGGTCCTCCGATGAAAAGCCCATGCCATACCCTATTCTGGGCAATAAGGTGAAGTAGCTGATGAGATTTGGAGAGCATGACTTACTAAGTTCTTGCTTCTGATACCAATAAATGGAAAGAGTGAAAAATACCCTGGAGTGGTGTAACTTGTTCAGAGAATAATGTGTGAAGTGAGTGTGTGACTCTTTCTCCAACACCGTCCGCAGAATGGGCATGTCGGGGGTTTCTCCCCACCGTGGGAACCCCAGAGCAGGTCAGGAAGAGAGTAAAGCACCAGAAACCCCAGAACCAGCTCTTCCTGGGGTGGCTTCTCTTGGGGGGGGGCCTCTCCTCTAGTCCCATTGCTGCTGGTCCCTCAACCTTGAAGACGTGTCAGTACCTCTGGGGTCTGAATTCCTTCTGTCCCGTGCGGCCGGTGCTCACGGTCCATGTGTTGGGGGGCTGACAATAGTTTGGGTGTTGGTTAATGTGTTGGGGGCTGATGGTCCATGGCTTGGGGCTCATTGACCGACCCCATTGGTTCTCGTATTCATTCACTGCTTTGGCAAGCTGGTGAAGTCCCCCAAGGTGCATACAGGAAGCTCTCCTTTCTTCTCTCCCCAGTTCTGTTTCTGAGCGTGAGGTTTTGCGTTGACCGGCTCGGGGTAGCCGAGTTTTGTGCTGTTTTCCCCTTGTGCTTTATTTTGTCGAGTAGACCTTTGGTGAACAGACTCGCGGATGCTGCAAAACCAGCCCCTCTGTCCCCCTTCTCCTGCCATTTTCGGGGCCGGGTGTCTTTATGACCAGGGTCCTGCAGGCCGTCCAGTCTGTGGATTGGAACAGAAATGGGGTCGGGGAAGCAGAGTGGGTCTGGTTTACATGGAGCCTGAGGGTGGACTGGACAAGCTAGACATGTTGTCCCCAGTCTCCTGGACACTCTGATTTTCCCATCTGTGCGGTTGTCATTATTTTGGCGACAAGTGAGACTCTCGTAGAGGCATGAAAATAACGCACCTGTGTTTATTCCAGCAGCATCTTTCTTCCAATAATTCAGGGCATGTGCATCACTTGCCTTCCGTTCGTCACTGTGGGAGGCGGGTGGGGCAGCCCCTGGAGGGTCAGCGAGAGGCGCTCTCCCGCTCTCTCCCCCCTCATCTGAAGGCCACACACTCTTCTCCAAAGCCCATGCCCCTGTTGTTTCTCCAGGTGAACCTGGGACTGGGGGCAGGGAGGGGAGGACCTAGAGAAAGGTCTAGATCTTTGGTCTCGGTCAGGCCCACTCTTAGGAAGAAGCTGGTCCTGACGTCCAAGCGCCTCCCCCCAAGCCCGCGGGGAGGGGCTGGCTCACCGCTCCCTGGCGCTGGCGGCCTGGCTGCAGAGCTCTGCTCTTCCTCTGGGGGTTGGAAGGTGGGTGCAGAATGAACCCAGAGACTTCTTCCAAGGTCTCCGTGTTTCCAAGCCTGCCCCTTGCACCCTGTCATCCCTTCTGGGTGTGATTTTTCTATTGCCCTTTTCTCCCAATTTTCATTTCTAGTCTGTTTTCTCATACAGAGGCGCTGCTATCGAACTTTCTCACATGGCGCATGAGGAACCTGAAATTCTTCCTCCTTTTTCCAGGATAGCCTGGGGCTGGGTTAAGTTTTTGCCCTCAGGATGGCTTGACACAGCTCCTGGCCCTAGCCCACCCGGCACTGTGTGATTATGAGCTCATCCATGACATCCCTCAAAGAGACAGTGGGGCTTCCTCTGGGGGGTGGGGGTGCCTGGGGGTTGTTTCAGGAATTCACCTTCCTAGGTGGGCAAACACTTCAGACGCCCTCTTTGTGCTGTCTTTGTTGGCTGGGACATTGCCTTGGATACTGTATCATTTTTGACTCTCCCTCAGCATGGTATGAAATGAGATCCCTTGGCCTACACCCCCCCATCGTAGGAATCCCCTTTTAGGGATTATCCTAATTCTAGTTCCCCGGATGTGTATGGGATATTTCCACTTCTTACTCCTACAAGAAACCATCTATCATTTTCCAAGTCGATTTCCTACCTGTGGCTCATGAAGCTTGTTTGGGGGTTCCACCTGCTGGGGGACAGAGGGGTCCTCTGGTCCTTCCCACAGCTGATGGTGGATGAGGGCTGAGCATTGCCCGGCTGTCCAGGGGAATAGCCTCGACCTCTGGTGATGGGCAGCTCCCCCGAGCCACCTTGGCCTGTCCTTTTGATCCTGAAACAGACAACACTTTCCTTTCAGTTATTGACCATCAGGCGCTTCGCGTAGAACACTGTCTAGTCCCTCTGTACACAAAGCAACATTTAGTCGCCTCGCTGCTGACTTCCCATTTTCCAAGTCTCCCTTAGTTTTGCTCCTTAACGTGAAACTGACAGATGGCCATTCCTCACGGGTCTGGACGACTCAATATTGCTTGGATTTGGGATAATAAGCAAATATTTCTAGGAAATCCCAGCCACATGCCGGGCTCCATGATGCAGAGGAGGGGACACATTGCCCGGACATGAAATGGCCACAGCCACAGGGTGATTTGCAACCAGTAGGGACGTGGGTTTTTTGGTCACTTCCTGTGAAAGCCCTTCTGAAACCAAGACCTTGGACAGGTGTGTTGGTTTCTGGACAACTATGAAGCTGGTCTCAGCCTCGCTATCTCTTTTGGACAAGCAGGCCAGGGTTAGGAAATCATGAAACAATCACGGGGCCCCTCTGTTTCTTTTCCCAGGGTGAGGGTGGGGACGGAGTGCCAGTATTTGCCAAAAAAAGCAAGTGGCACCGAAAAGACTTCCTTATTATAAAGCCAGGGTGCTAGGCTTGGCCTTGGCAGGGTTTGTCTGGAGAGTGAGTGGCTGATCCCCTTTGGCCTCAGGCCAGAGACCTTCCCTGTTGCCCGGGTCAAGCCAGGCCGTGGAATGTAGTCATGGCTACGCACCATGGGAAGTGGGTGAAGGTAAAGATTTTAGATAATTCTGTAATGTCTGCAGTCTCCCCAAATCTCTTTGTTTCATTTGCTAACTTCCATCACGTGCTACTGCCTGTCTCTGCTCACTGACAAAGAACTTTCAAGTTCAGTAAATGACTTCTCCATGTCTTGGGAACCCCCAAACTTGTAAGGACTCAGGGACTAGAGGGAATGCAAAATAAAGTCATTATCCTCTGAAGCATAGTTCTGATAACGTTCTAGGATTTTTCCTAAACTCTATACTTTATAAAATTTTGACTCTGGTCTTCTTGCTTGGAAGCCTGTGGCCAAGTCCGTGGATCCAGCACCCGACTGTGTCCTTGGATTCTTTTGTCTCCTTTCACCGAAGCAACATGACCAGCCGGTTGAACACAAAGCTCGTGAAACCCGAGGCACCGGTGGGTGAAGCACCCGGCTGCCTCTTCTCTCAGTGACCAGGAAAAAAAGGAGCATCAGGGAAAACGAGCAAGTCCATGGAGCTTAGGGCCCTTCAGGAGGTAGACAGAGGATAAAGCTTATTGCATTTGTATTTAAATAAGAAATGAACCCCAGGTGGGCACAAGAAATTCTGTGGCTTTGGCAAGAGCCTTTGGGACCTGCTCCATCCTCTATCAAGGAAGCCGCTTCAGGAGAAATCCGTCCCCTCTTGGGCTAGATCTGGCTGCTTCTACCTGTCCCAGAAGGTGCAGCAGACATTTTTGGTGAAAATTTCCATGAGATCTGTTACAAGCTTTAGAAAATCAAGTTGACTTTGTTGCTATTAATGACCTCGGTTGCTATGTTTCAGGCCACCAGGTGATTGCACTTTAGATTTTGGGTTTCTTTCCTCCGTATCACGACCGGTGGTAGTAACGGACAGGGCTTCTCAGTGAAGTCTCAAACCCTTTGGAATGAGACCTGATGGGGGTACCTTTACAAAGGGAAATATGCTAAGACAGGACAAGGGGCTTTGCCACTTCATCAGACACCCGGAGGAAGGGGTCACCTGGTCCGTTGAGATGGACCCTTTTCCTGTCACGTCGTAGGAGATGGACAGAGTGAGCCTGCAGGAAGGTTAGGGGTGTGGGGCTGGTACCCTCTCCTAGGTTGGCTCTGGGAAGACAGGAGTAACCAGCCCCCCTTAACAGACTGGTTATTTTCTAGACAATTCTGAGATTCAGGCATTCATGGCAGGCAGGTGTGGGCATTTACAGACAGGAGGATTTTGGATCTCACGCAAAGCAAACCCCACAGCTGAGCCCCGCCTTCTAAGTGCCTGAGTTCCGCCATCTTTCGATATTAAAAGGAAAGCATTTCCATTGACGTTAGACCCTATTTCAAAAGAATTCCCCCGATAACCCCGAAACATTTCTAATTAACTGCCTCGTTTAAGTCTGAACAGAAAAATATAGAATTCCCAGCCTTTCTTTCCCCACTTGACCCCCAGGATTAAAAGGGGTTCATTAAAAGCTAACGGAATGTCCTGGAGGCAATAGTCCTCTCTGTAAATAGCTAGATCCAGGCCTTTGGCCTTAACACTCACAAACATCACAAAGAAAAAGAAAGTGAAAATTGGTATCTTTTTAACTTTACAAGAAACTATATGTTTCTAGAGAATTTTACAAAAGCGCTAGAGAAAATTGAGAAAATGAACTCTGAACCCCACAAGAGGTCATTAGAATTTCCCCTTCACAGTCCGCTCTGCCCAGCATGGGGGGTGGCCCTGCTCTGCCTCCCCCCACAACCCCTCTCGCGTCTCCCCATCAACCTTCAGCGAGAGTCTGGAAACGATTTAAAGATCTTCAATTATTTTTTTGCTAATTGAGCAAAGTAGGCACAGTTCAGCGGCTGGTCTCAAATCAAGATGTATTTTTAAAGGTTCCAGGTTCCAAGGCACAGGGTACGCCTTGGAAAGACAGAACAGAAAGACAGGGCCCTCTTCTTCCACAGGGGGCCCGAGGGTAATCCAGGGTAGCAGAGATCAACTTACTTTCCCAGAAATTTCCTGGTTTTAAAACTGAAAATCCCAAATAGCAGGGAAGGCCCTGAGTCCCTGGAAGATCGGAAGGTTTAGCTTCTTATAGGGGCCCCGTCGTGGCAGGCCCGCAGTGGGGTGGGAGGCTTGGGAGGCAACTGACTCCCAGCCCCCGGTGAATCTTAGCGCTTTCTTTGGACTCTCTCTGGCGATCTCTTGTGGTCTCGCCTCTTGTGTAGTCACGCATCCTCCCATAGCCGTCCTCTGAGTGACGCTGCCCTTATAGCCCTGACCTCTAGGCTCAGGTGTGCACGCTCAGGCATGCGCACAACCATACTCCAGGTGTCCACAGTCAGGTACGCGTGTCCCGCACCCACACTCCCCAGTGCCTTCTGCATTAACACAAACAAGGCCACAGGTGATAGCCACAGAGGCTAGTGGTGTAAAAAGTCTGACCAATAATTCACTTACCCTGCAGGCCCCAAACCCACCATACCCCATACTCACCTTATCCAGCAGGACCTAGTTCGGGGTGGATGTGGTAGAAGTGAGGGTGATCCTCTGCAAGTGCATCTCAGGACCACAAGGGGGCGCCAACAGCCTCTCGAAGTTCTCACCTTTGGAGAAAGCAGGTTTTAAAAACCACAGTAAAGAAATAAGATTAAAAAGAGCAAAATGCCCTGGGTGGACCCCTCCTCCTGCGTGTGTTTTATGTTAGAGTTTTGGCCAGGTGGATCCACTGATTGATCTTACCAAATAAAAAATTGGGGGTGGGGGTTGGGGACTGTAGCTTTTGAGCTCAAGTAGGAAGCTATCCTCTGGGCTTGTGGCCCCAAAGATGATGTGGAGGGGTCACCCCACAGTTTGGGTGTAAACAGTCGCTGTAGTTCCCAAGTCCCCACCCAGGTGCTGTGGTTTTGGCTTGGCCCTTTACTGGGTTCTGCGCAGAACTTCTCCAGACGATACCTTCTTCCCCTGGGGCCATCACATAGTCTCTGGCAAATGAGAATTTCTAAAAATAAACCAAGTGCTGTCCCTTCGGGGGTTGCTGCTGACAGGAAATCCCCAAATGGGTTCACCATTTGGGAATCATCAGCTGAACAGCCACTTGTCACTTGAGGACAAGAAATGTATGGTGGTGACTGTGCTGTGTGGACATTTTAGAGTGAGGTCCCGCAAACCTCATGGTTCAGCCTCCACACACCTGGGCTGTGAGGCAGCTGTGGGGACCACCGTCCTGGCTGTGGTTCATCGTTCACTGAGATGCCCTTAAGAGAAGTGACCTTCAGATTTCTCTGGCTGCTGGAATAAGTGATAAAGTTGGTGACTTAGAGCAACTCTAGTTGTTTATCTCAAAGCTCTATTGCGTAGAAGCTTAACACAGCTTTCTCTGGGCTGAAATTACAGCCTCTTTAGGACTGTTTCTTTCTGGAGGTTCTGGGGAGAATCTATGTCTTTGCCTTTCGCAGCTTCTAGAGGCACCTGTGTTCCGTGGCTCAGAGCCCCTTCCTCCACCTTCAAAGCAGGTAACGCTAATCTCTCTGACCATCGTTTTCTAGATAAGTCTTCCCTAGCCTTCCCCAGCTGGGAAGGTCCTCATTTTGGGCTCACATGGTAATCTGGGATAATCCCCCACCTCAAATCCACAACCTGGCTGACGTGTGCAGAGTCCTTGTGTGCCGTGTAAGGTGACCTAGTCAGTTTCTAAGGGTTGGGACAAGGATAACTCTGGAGGACTCTTCTGCTGCCCACTGCACCATAAATAGTCTGAGAGTCTCTTCTTTGATATTTTGCCCCTGTGACCCCAGGATCTGGGCAGCATGAGCTGTGGTCTAGTGTCGATCTACTTGGAAAGTCATTGGTGGTTATTTTCCTTGCTGCTTCTGAGTCAGCGCTGCTGGCCCTTTCCAGCATTTTCCCAGACTCCGAAAGGAGAAGAACACGTCCAATACATCCTTGGGTTACAGCAGGAAATGGCATCTTGCTTCATGCGTAATGCTCTCTGGTGTTTTTATGGAAAGGTTGGGCATTTCTACTGTCTTAAAAAAATTCCATGTCTAAACTCTTGGCCACACGACACGGAACGCCTACCTGGGCTGGGCTGGGCTGGATCAGATTTGACAGGAGCTTTCAAGCAGCTCCTTGGTCCTGCCTGCTCGGCTGGAAGGACAGTGGGACGTCTGCTGAGGCGCACGGCTTGGCCCTGCATGGGTATGGGGGGTTCTGTTGTTAATTGGACCCCAGGTGTGGGGTGGGGTAGACATTGTCATACTCAGAGTTCTAGCAAGTTTCTGAGAGAGGAAGCGGATGACGCGGCCTCAGCTAGAGGCCCCCAACCCACTTGGGGTTTTTTCCAGGGCCGTCAAGTGTCCCAACCACTGTGGTGCTGTGCACTTTTTCACTTGTTTCTGAAATGTGTTCTCTGATTATTATGAGTTCCGGCAAGCACCTCAACCCTTACGGAAAAGAAAGGGGGGGGAGTAATAAGCAAACCAACAACTGAGCCTACACCCTTTGCTCCGAGGAGGGGCACCCTAGGGCTGGACCCCTCCACTGGGATGGAAGCCGGAGTCCAGGGTGAGATAAAGAGATGGGCTTTGACTGACTCCTGGGTTCAAATCCTACCGTGTGACCTTGAGCAAGTGACTCTACCTCTCTGTGGTTTAGTTTTCTGGCCTGTAAATGGAGATAGTAGCGGTACCTACACTTGACAAGGTTGGTATCAGGATTGATGATTGAGTTAGCATAAATAAAATGTTTAGGACAGTGGCAACCAAGGATGCTCTGAGAGGTTAGTTGCTACCATCCTTTATTTTTTAAAAGATTTATTTATTTATGCATATAAGAGCTGGGGTGTAGGTCAGAAGTGGGGGTGTGTGTGAGAGGATTCACCAGAGACAGAGTGAGAGACAGAACAGGCAGACCCACTGAAATACACTGCTGAGGGGTGCAGTGGGCGAGACAGGAGAGGTCTGCTGCGCCATGTGGGTTGCTCCCTGGCCAGGCGGGGATCAAACTCATGCTGCAGAGACTGCGGATAGCTTCATAGTGTGGTGCTTAACCCCTTGTGCCACCGGGGAGGCCCAAGTTGCTGCCAACCTTATCATCACATATTTTCACAACATGGCCCACCCCTGCCTGACCTTGGCCAAGGAGAGTCTGCCCCGTCCAGATGGCCAGTCTGGGGCTAGGTTTGCCACCTGAATGGCACCAGTGAATTAAAAAAATATATATTTTTTATTTTTTGAGTCTTGATGTTTTTCTATTCCCTTCCCTATTCTTCTCTCTCTGTGCTGGGACAGTCATGACTATTAGAGAATTCAATATGCAAATATGTGTGTATCCACATTAGTTTTTTTTTAAATCAGTTTTCTGCTGATGATGCTCCAATAAGGCAGGTGATATTTCAAGTAAGAAAACAAGAAATAAACCTCAAATCAGACAAGAATACCAACAAGAGTCTGGGTTTTTACCCCCTATGTCAGAGGACAGCAAAGGCAGGAGCTGACTTTGCATTTTGCTGGTGTCTGGTCTTGCTGATCCAACTCAGGATTCTGAGCTCAGAGCGATTAGATCAAAACAGGAAGCTGAAAGATGTTAGATGTGGAAAGGGAGTCACTGCACTTCCCTTGTGAATGGCTTTTGATTTTATGCTGATTTGTGTATTTTCTCTCACCTGAAGCTTCAGGGTAAACCTGAGAATGCAGAAGATCCTGACTGTAAATGCTCATTTTATTTTCCTGAAGTGACACTGATATGTAATGCTCTCCCAGTCTCAGGTGGACAGTGGAGAGGGTTGATATTTGTGTCATTGTGGGGTAACTACCCTAGTAGGTCTAGT